TTACTTTTGGGTTATCGACAGGAAAAAAACACCCCACCAATAATATTGATCTATGAGTTTCAATGACTGCGAAGAGTCACAGAATATTGACCCCTTTGACATGATACAATGATATAGACGAAATAGTTATAGCAAATACCATAATTAAAAAGTTAAGGAATACAAAGCGTAAATCCAGGAAGTAAACACTGTATGTCTACATTTACAAGGAAACAAGAAAACAAGTCATAATCATATGCATATGAATACAAGGAGTTTACCTTTAGAAGGCGGCAATGATATATTATTCTCCTGTGAAATAAAGAATAAAGTGAACAATACTATAAATCCTTACAAAAACGCATTTTCGTTGAATGGGAAACTCATTATCAAACAATAATACAATAATACACTGAAATTATCAATTTGTAGTGAATTTAAAACTTTAAATAAAGTATACTTAATGTGTGTTTGCTTCGGGTTATACGGATAATTTCAACTTTGAAAAATCAGTAATTATCCGTAGATCAGAATTTAAAAAATAACACGCTGACAATAAAAAAAGATATTTGAACTAAAATTGTCGAATATCAATGCATATTAAACTGCGTACTACGAACAGTTCACAAACTCGAAAGAGCAAGTTATCTTATATAAGAACATTTTCTTAATCATTTTTACCTTCAAAAGTCGCCATTATCAATAAGTATTTTACTAGTAATAACCTAACGATTTGCATATAAACTTCGGTAGGGTCTACGTGGAATATCAAATGTGTTTACAATTGAAGTTTTTAAGTACACATCAGTTACATCAGACGTCAGTATGGAAATAATGCTCCCGAATTTAAGACTGTGAATCATCAAATTTTATATATGTTCTCTCTTTAGCAAGGTGGTACAGGGACATTAACTCCATTCAAGACCAAGCGTTTCAAATTTTCTGAACAAAAAACGAACCAGAATACCGTCCACCATCTAAAACAGATAGGAAACAGTGTCGTCAGTTCATTACAAACGCTATTTTGTCCTATTGTAAAAAATGGTGTAAATATAATGTATAAATATTGTGAATATTCGAATTGCAAATCTTGAAAATAATTTAGAAATGAATAAAAGGGTACATAATACGACTATTTCTAGAATAAGAAACAAATTTCAAATTCCCCCAAAGCAGTTTGTGTACGTACCGGCCGACGAAGCAACCAATAATGTGATGATGGTATGACGTGAATAGTTTTTTACGAATGAAACTACAAATTCTTCTACATTCGTTCCCATGTGCCCCCAGAAAATTGTATAGTAAAGAATTTTATCATAACCACATCTCAGTGTAAGGCCTCTTCTAAACATATGGAGGTCCCGCTTATGTATTGCTTACCTAAACTACTATAAACTAATAATAAAAAAAATATCTAAATATACTGCCGAATCTTATCAAAAGGAGCTCACTTTAAATAAATCTAATTCAAAAATCAATAACTGTCCTTTTCTAAATTTAGATATTTCAGTTTTACAAAGGAAACTCTACACAAAAATTTACAGTTTGTGAAAGCATTTTGCATCGGAAGAATAACTAACGAATTTCATAAAATTTGTAAAAGCAACAATAAACTTCAGCAGTTATGCAATTGTAATTGCAGTTGGCCAATTTAATCAAAGTGGAAAAAAAAACATTGTCGGTGCAATACTTTCTAATTGCCACAGTTTAATGCAAGATCGAACGCTGTGAATATTTACTCGAAAGAATGAGCTTGAAGGATTTGACCCGGCTAAAAATAAATTTAAAGCATGGTTAGAGACCACACCAAGTATTCGGAATTGGATACTAGAATACGATCTCCGCTACGTTGCCATTGAAAACACATCAGAAGAATATGATCATGAAACAGATGAGATAATAAAAACTGCAGTAAATCTGAATCATCACAAAAAAAATAAAACTGTAAGTGGCCCCATTTCTGTCCATCCCAACCCTAACGATAACCAAAAATGGATAGTTTCCTGCTATCTATCAGTACTTTTTTCCACCTAGTCAAACCTATTTATTTTGTATTTACATTGTATCATAGATCAAATTTATTTGTTCAGTGTATGTTCACTGGTGTTTATATGTCTTTTGATTGAGTTAAGCCATTTCAATTGATATTTTGTATTGTATCTTTCTTTGTTGTGATGTTACACTAATGTTTCAGATAAGGGTGAAGGTTTGGTACCATTAAATTGTTTAACCCGCTGCAATTGTTTGCACCTGTCCTAAATCAGGAATCTGATGTTCAGTAGTTGTCGTTTGTTGATGTGGTTCATAAGTGTTTCTCGTTTCTCGTGTTTTATATAGATTAGACCGTTGGTTTCTCGTTTGAATGGTTTTACACTAGTCATTTTTGGGGCCCTTTATAGCTTGCTGTTCGGTTTGAGCCAAGGCTTCGTGTTGAAGACCGTACTTTGACCTATAATGGTTCACTTTTATAAATTTTGACTTGGATGGAGAGTTGTCTCATTGGCACTCTACCACATCTTCTTATATCTACTAACAATTAATATTTTTTTATCTGACTAATTAGTTGATTTATTCAAACACTACACTCACATGTTTTATTTTTGCAAAACATTTAAAAACAACGTTTGAATGTTTATGTATGTGACCAGTAAAAATTAAATCATGATACCCACATAACATTGATCATTTTGCATATGTTCTTAAATGTTTATGTAAGATAAACGAAAGTGTTTATAGCAGTTCTTTTTTTAATTTTCCAATGTTTTGACAAAATTCGTTTTTTTGTTGTTGCTGCTGTCCTTTTATTTGCTGTGCTTTTTTTTTTTTTTTTTTTTTTTTTTTTGCTGTGAATGTGAAAACCATCGTTGATCCTCTTATTGCGTAATGGATTATGCTTAAAGCAGAATATCAAAAGGAAAAGCCGTCGAATTCTGTAATCTAAATGAATTGCAAAAACAATAAACAAAAATGATATCCTTTTTCTGAAAACAAAAATAATATCGAGCCTTGAATATAATACCTAACAGATTCAGGTACTGAAATATGCTAGTTCAGCTCCAAACAAATATGCAACAAGGACGTAGAACAAACAACAACTGTCATTAAAATCAAAGTTATATTGAAATATCTTGGAAACACCAAGTGCTTCAAAATGAGTTTTGAATTATGTTTTCAAGTGGCAATGGGTAGTCGTCAAGTATTGTTCGCAGTGTGCAAGAATCATATGACAATGAATGGGCGTTCGATAATCTATATCTTGAGTATTGTATGAGTCAGATTTAGTTCTGTGATAAATCTGTATCAAAGCATTAATTTATTTCAAACCTTCATTTGATAAAGCAATTGCGACAAAGATCATTTTTTTTATATTAAATCTGGACGTTCCCTTTACTCTGTCTTTCTATACAGAAATTCTGTAAAACGAGTCTTTCTTCAATTGTCTTTTTTATATAATGATCATATTTTCTAAATGTTGGTTCTAGCAAACATGATTAAGCTCTTTCTGACCAGTGGCGAAGCTTGACCATTATTTATAGTAATGCAGACGATTTGATACGTTTGAGATAAGATCTCAGTGTGATTTAAGTTAAAGGTTGAAGGGAATCACAACGAGTTTGTAGCATTTACAATTTCTAAAAATTATAAACATGTTATATCGATTGTTGTTTGCTTAACGTCTATTGACAAATATTCGATTCATAGTAAAGACGAGAACAAATTGCTAATAATCCAATAGATGGCAGGAATTTTGACTCGAAAGGGCAGTATATAAGACAGGCACATAATTCATTAAATTTTAGTCCCCGCCATACACGAGGCATCAAATATTGTCCTGACTGGACATGGCATGTATTCATGCGTATTCATGCATCCCTTATAACAAAATTGACTACTCAGGGTTTTGTTGCATGCGAATCTCATGGATGACTATTAATATATATATATACAATTTCATGAAATTAAGTTTTTAAAGGATGGCTGTTTGGACTATATCAGTACCCAGTTTGGATTCAAATCTAACCATAAACTCCAAGGTTCCTGCTTTTCTGAGCTATAATAAAACAATAGTTAACACATTTGTTGTATTTCGGCAAAAAAGCTGTTTACCAAGAACAAAGCTAAAACAGTGTCGGCAGTCCCACAATTCCGTATACTTTTCTTGTCTTCATACTAACATGTACTAAAGAGCTCCAAATGTAGGCGTGCATAATTACAATGGGTATGTCTAAAAACCTACCCTCGGTAGTTACCGCCTTTGGGTGATTAACTTTAAGTTTTTTCCTGAAAGGACGATATATGTAGGAATACCTACAACCTATAAACTTTATTGCCGAAACGTACAAAAATAAGTATCAAGTATAGAAAGTTCAAATTTGAACGATTGATTTAAAAAAATCCATCCGAAAATATATTTTCTCTATTAAAGTATCACTATATGACTTCACTCTTCATGCATGAGGCACCCTAAGGTGCACGTGGAAAAATAGTTTTGTGTGTATAAAAACAATTTATTTAAGTGAACCTATATAAAAAAAAAAACCTCAAATTTGAATGATTGATTTAAAAAAAATCCATCCGAAAATATATTTTCTCTATTAAAGTAACGTTATATACACAAAAACAGTATAAAACCAGAGATGAAATAAAAAAGGCGTTCGGTAACTATTTTTTTTTAATTCTACATATTTTCTATGTTACAGAGGGCCTTTAAAGGTATGAAGTAGTAGCAAAATTTATCTCATAATATATCTGTTTTGATTGAAAACCTTACATCACACTAAGACATATCAAACTTTCCATTTTCTGCAATTAAAAGAGCTTTGTCTCACAGTTGAATATACAGCATATATTTTATTGCTTTAATGAGTCTTGAAATATAATTTGTATTACTTTAATCCCCATTATGTCAGTAGTTGTTAGGGCTGTTGCTCTCTTAATTAAAGGACGATGTATGATAAGTGCAGTATTTGGCCCCTTTGTATACAAAAAAAATTAATAACAATATCTGTGGCAAAAATGACCATAAAAACTTATTGAAGTTTTGTATTTTGTTGAAATAAACTTATTTTTCAAGGTTATGCAGGAAATCGATTATAAATGATACTATGAATAAACCATAAACGGGTGTCTATACGGAAAATCGGACTTTTCCAACTCTACTTTGAATGATTTAAATATGAGCGCAAGTGAGAACATGTAAGATATTTTACATATGGTATGTATGATATAGTATTGGCATTATATACAAATTTCATAGATGTTCTCAACTGCGCTCATAGCAAAATCTTTAAAAAATATCATGTACAGTCGTTGATTTTTGCGTGCGGTTTATTTTAGTCTGACAACTTCCGGTTTCAGTCGCCAGGGAAGCTGGATATCATCAGAGTCAACAAACTATGCTGCTGTAATAATATATGATTATATAATGGTAAATGTGATACTTATTCATGAAAAAACAGAGATGTAAATCTCATGTGGGCACGGGTTCCTTAAATAGTTCTAAGAAGAAACAAAAGAAATCATAAAATAAATTCACGAAAAAGAGCAGACGTCATATGTTAGCTCTCTATTACAAAGCATAAATCATGATAAGAGTGGTAAATGTGATAGTTGTGTATCAAAAACTGATATATATTACAAACATTACGTGAGATAATGCATAGGTTCCATAAATACTTCCAAACCAAAGAAGTCTAAATTCACAAAAACTCGGGGTCACCGCCGTTCATGCTCAGAGCAGACGTTATACTTGTAATTTGAAAGCGAAAATATATTGCCTTAGCAGATCAATTGTTTTCCGGATGTAGATGTGGTTAATGCAATTGGACATCCAGATGGTCAATCATCGGGTTTAAATAAAAACAATTTTTATTTGTGTACGGATTCTAAAAATGATTATCTCCCCTCGTGATCAGTATAAAAGTAATTTCTATAAAATTCTTCTTTCAAGTATTTGTTAGAAATAAAATAATACAACCATAAATCATTTCATAGGGTATTATATAATATATATTAGAAGATAAAAAGAAGAAAATACAATTTCAATAAAATGTTGCAACAACAAATAACAAATTATGTAAATATTGTAAACCTATTGACTTGGAAGAAGGTAAATGTATGACTATATATACCAATTAAAAATTCTTACTTTGCCCAATTTGGAGCATTGTATTGTTGGAAAAAAATGTCCAGAAGAACAACGGTGCTTGAATTTTTGAAATGACAATATCTTAATGTAAAATGTGCTATTATTTCTTAGTCAGGCATGAATAAAATGCACATGATGCAACATACAGAGAAAAATACTAAGTTAACTGAATCCAATAAATTAAATTGAAAAAAAATATCATCAAAGATCAATCAGGTTGACAAATTGTTCCCAGATGTATGTTGCAAATAAAATAGACTTACCATTGTTTTTCAAATCAAAACAGTTGGGAGTTGGCCCCCCAATTAAAATTTAGAAGAGACTAAAAACCAAAAATTTGATAGGTGGGTGAAAATGAATAAGTTAAACATGTGTGGTTCTTAAATATGTAAAAAAGCAAGTTTCTTTTATTTAGGTTCACTTCCTTTCATTGTTTTCCTTAACCCTGTTTGAAATATTCAAGATTATTTTAATAAATAAATCCCTTGCTGTTTTTGATTTTCATAAATATTTAATTTATTTTGTAGATTGTCTCCAAAAAGTTTTGAATGTGAATTTATATGCCATGTACAACAAATAAGCCATGAAATGAATTAAAGATGAATTGTAACCGTAAGTATTTGCTATTCCTAATTTTTGTTCAGTTTGATACTATATTAAAACTTGCAAATATAAATTATAGTTTAACATGTGTGGTTCTTATATATGAAAAAAACAAGTTTCTTTTATTTAGGTTCACTTTCTTTCATTGGTTTCCTTCACCATGTTGGAAATATTCAAATGTTAGTCATTCAAGATTATTTTAATAATAAATCTCTTGCTGCACTTGGTTTTCATCAATATTTTATTTAATTTATTTTGTAGATTGTCTCCAAAAAGTTTTGAGTGTGAATTAATATGCCATGTACAACAAATAAGCCATGAAATGAATTAAGTAATGAACTAAAGATGAGTTGTAACCGTAAGTATTTGCTGATATTTGTTGAGTTTGAGACTTGCAACTTGAAAACTTGCAAAAGTAACACATCATAGCAATCTAAAGCACCTATTATGTATACATTATGTAGGCAGGGGCAGTGGGGTCATCATTTGATAGTGTTGAGTCTGTTGTTGAAGATTTTAGACATGATATCTTAGTCAGACCTTTATTGAATTGATAAGAAACTTTAACATTTTTCATAATAAAAATAAACCAGCAAGTACAACAAAATGTATATAAAGCAAAAGTTAGAAAATATTAGTTTTTTGCCATATTTTTTAAAGATAGGTAATATGGAATTGAATCCCTCCTCTCCCCACCACTGAGTGCCTATGCTAAAGAAGTAAACCTTACAATAGTGTACATTTTTAAAGTACAAAGAAGCCATGGTTTAAACTTCGTGCTTCATTAAAATATTCTCATCCTAATAAGCATGTTATATTTGCTACTGAAATAAAACACCATGCACAAGTTCATCAACATCATTATTATCAAATATTAAACTTGCTGTATTCATAATAAAAAGTTTGAAAATATGTATCCTGTAAATATACACAAGTTTATATTAAATTTTTTTTCTGATATACATGTAGATCAAAACCGCTTATTTATTTAAATTATATAGATAGTATTTAGTAACATCATGCACGTACTTATGTCAATTACAACATTTATTTATTTCTTAGGTCAATACTTTTGCACTCTTACATTCTTACATTTTCCCTACCCCTGTTGTAAAATTTTTGTTTTTCAAATTGTTTTATAATTTTTCTTGTGTTTAATATTTGTAAAATATTTATTTTTCCTTTTCAGATTTTCTCCATAGATACATTGTACCATAAATGTTAATTTTGCTTTAACATATATAGAACACCTATGCCTGATGTTGAATAGTAGATAAACAAATGAGTACCTCACAGTAAGTATTTGTTAATTGTTTTTTACTAGAAAATTCAGAATGAATATTTTTCCGATAATAAATATGTCTAAAACAGAAAAAGAATGGTGTTTTATATTGACAGTTTTTACTTAAGCTTGTATAAAACAACAAATAAATTAAATTGGTTTCAATTGACTCTATCTGTGTAAAGCTTGCTCGGATTATTAAATAATTAAACACTATATTTCTGTTCTAATTTTTATACGACCGCAAAAAAACTTTGTGGTCGTATATTGGTATCACTTTGTCGTCGTCCAAAGACACTTAGTTTCCGGACAATAACTTTAAGTGAATGGATTTCAATTAAATTTAAACACAAGGTTTGAAACCACAAAAGGAAGGTTGGGCTCGATTTTGGGGGTTATGGTCCCAACAGTTTAGGAATTAAGGGCCTAAAAAGGGGTCCAAATAAGCATTTTTCTAGTTTCCAGACAATAACTTGTGTGTAAGTGTATGGATCTTTCTGAAATTGTAACACAAGGTTCCATACCAAAAAAGGAAGGTTGGGATTGATTGTTGGGGTTATGGCCATAACTGTTTAGGAATTAGGGGCAAAACAGGGGGAAATACCAGGGTTTCTTGGTTAATGGACAATTAAGACAATTTTAAAGCAGTGTAAGGGAGGTAATCCAAACATAATAAAGGGGCCAAAAACAATATTTGTATAAATTGCTTATTTCTTGACCAATTTCAATCGGGTTTTTATTCTTGAATGCTTGGGGTTCTTTAATATGCTGAATTTAACCGTGTAAAGTTTTTGGATTTTTGGGCCCCGTTTTTAAATTGGTCCACATTGAGGTCCAAAGGGTCCAAGATTAAACTTTGTTTGATTTCATCAAAAATTGAATTCTTGGGGTCCTTTGATATGCAGAATCTAACCATGTATTTAGATTTTTAATTTTTGGTCCCTTTTTCAAGTTGGCGCAAATCGGGGTCCAAAAGTAAAGTTCGTTTGATTTCAACAAAAATTGATTTATTGGGGTTCTTTGATATGCCGAATCTAATTGTGTATTTAGATTTTTTATTTTTGGTCCCGTTTTCAAATTGGTCTACATTAAGGTCCAAAGGGTCCAAAATTAAACTTAGTTTGATTTTAACAAAAATTGAATTCTTGGGGTTCTGTGATATGCTGAATCTTAACATGTATTTAGATTTTTGATTATGGGCCCAGTTTTCAATTTGGTCCAAATAAGTGTCCAAAATTAAACTTTGTTTGATTTCAACAAAAATTGAATAAATGGGGTTCTTTGATATGCTGAATCTAACCGTGTATTAAGTTTGGATTGTGGGCCCTGTGTTTAAATTGGTCAGCATTGAGGTCCAAAGGGTCCAAAATAAAACTTTGTTTGATTTTTGATTATGGGCCCAGTTTTCAAGTTGGTCCAAATAAGTGTCAAAAATTAAACTTTGTTTGATTTCAACAAAAATTGAATAAATGGGGTTCTTAGGTATTCTGAATCTAACTGTGTATTAAGTTTGGATTGTGGGCCCCGTTTTTAAATTGGTCAGCATTGAGGTCCAAAAGGTCCAAAATAAAACTTTGTTTGATTTCATCAAAAATTGAATTCTTGGAGCTCTTTGATATGCAGAATCTAACCATGTATTTAGATATTTAATTTTTGGTCCCTTTTTCAAGTTGGCGCAAATCCAAACATAATAAAGGGGCCAAAAACAATATTTGTATAAATTGCTTATTTCTTGACCAATTTCAATCGGGTTTTTATTCTTGAATGCTTGGGGTTCTTTAATATGCTGAATCTAACCGTATAAAGTTTTTGGATTTTTGGGCCCCGTTTTTAAATTGGTCCACATTGAGGTCCAAAGGATCCAAAATTAAACTTTGTTTGATTTCATCAAAAATTGAATTCTTGGGGTACTTTGATATGCAGAATCTAACCATGTATTTAGATTTTTAATTTTTGGTCCCTTTTTCAAGTTGGCGCAAATCAAGGTCCAAAATTAAACTTCATTTGATTTCAACAAAAATTGATTTATTGGGGTTCTTTGATATGCTGAATCTAATTTTGTATTTAGATTTTTTATTTTTGGTCCCGTTTTCAAATTGGTCTACATTAAGGTCCAAAGGGTCCAAAATTAAACTTAGTTTGATTTTAACAAAAATTGAATTCTTGGGGTTCTGTGATATGCTGAATCTTAACATGTATTTAGATTTTTGATTATGGGCCCAGTTTTCAAGTTGGTCCAAATAAGTGTCCAAAATTAAACTTTGTTTGATTTCAACAAAAATTGAATAAATGGGGTTCTTTGATATGCTGAATCTAACCATGTAATAAGTTTGGATTGTGGGCCCCGTTTTTAAATTGGTCAGCATTGAGGTACAAAGGGTCCAAAATTAAACTTTGTTTGATTTGAACAAAAATTGAATTCTTAGGGTTATTTGATATGCTGAATGTAAACATGTATTTAGATTTTTGATTATGGGCCCGGTTTTCAAGTTTGCGGAAATTGGGGTCCAAAATTAATATATTCTTTTTGTCCATAATGTCCATAATGGTCACAGTGTTTCATTTAATTTTTTTTTTCATTCCAGTATTTTTACAAGATGACAAAGTCTGTGAATTGCTGTCTTTGTAAGAAAAGATGCCAGCTAAATAACAGAAGACGCTGCTTCAGTGGTGTATTAAAGACATTCCTAACAGATGAATTGCAGAGATGTATCCAAGAAACAGACAGGTTATGTGCATCTTGCACAGCCAAACTTTATAAACAAGTAAAAAACTGCAATAAAACAATAAGATCTCGCTCAATTGAGACAAACAATTCAGGGGAAAAAAATGTGGCAGATATTCCTGGAGCATGTGCAGCTAATGTTTTTACATCACCAAAGTCCATTAGGCTAGAAATAAAATCCGCACCGAAAACACACAGGTACTGCATTGTATGTAAAAAAGAAGGAAACAAGCGTCATCGTCTGGTAACAATAACATCGGAAGCCAGAACTCAATCATTTATTGAAAAAGGAAATTTTCATTAACCAGAAAAGTCGATGTTGCAAAACACATATGGAAAGTAGGTTTTTTAAGATTAAAGCATTAGATGTTTTACAGTCATCAAAACAACATGAATACTTCTCTCGTACTGACATAACAGGTCTCTTAAATGATTTAAGAACAATAATGAAAATGACATCTTCACGTTTGAACTTTGATATACCTGCACTCATGACTGAAGAAAATTATAATGACTTGACAGGACTGAGTAAGGATCAGTTTAGTGACTTACTGGGATACATGTCTACTGTTAGGAGTTCTGGAGTAAGGTCAGTAAGGACTTGCCTTGGAGTATTTCTTACCAAGCTCCGTGTTGGTTTGTCAAATAAAATTCTTGGAACAGTCTTTGGGTTGAAAACATCTCAGGTACAGAGAATTATCCATGCAGCAAGAAGAACTTTAATGGAAACCTTCGTTCCACATACACTAGGTTTTCAGCATGTAAGTCATGGAGACTTTGTAACAAATCATACAACACCAGTAGCAAAGCAATTGTTCACTACAGATCCAAGACAAGCTGTCATTGTCCTCGACGGCACATACATTTTCATACAAAAAAGTAGTGATTATCATTTCCAGAGAATGTTTTACAGCATGCACAAACACCGCCCATTGGTCAAACCAATGATAATTGTAGGAACTGACGGCTATATCCTGTCGATCTTAGGGCCTTATTTTGCAGACGGCCACAATAACGATGCATCCATAACAAAACATGCCATAACTAACAACTTGGAGAACATAACAGCATGGTTGCAGGATGATGATATTTGCATTGTGGATAGGGGCTTCAGGGATGCAGTTCAGTACTTGGAAGATCAGGGGTATATGGTTAAGATGCCTGTTTGTCTGGTAAAAGGGAAAAAGCAGTTAACAACTAACGAAGCTAATCTGACTCGCTTAGTTACTAAATGTCGCTGGGTTGTAGAAAGCACAAATGCCAGATTGAAACAGTTTCATTTCTTTGAAAAGGTGGTTCCAAATACCATGATTTCCAGTATTGGTGATTTAGTAAAGATTA